CCCCCCCGGAAAACTCTGAGACGGCTTCTAATGCAATGCAGGAGCACCAGCAGCCCAAGGATCACAGAAGGTTAAACACTGGAGCATAAAAGAAAGCTCCCCGACAAAGCCTGGGGATGATCCATAGGTCCCTCCCTGCAATTAAGCACTGGGATGAATCAGAGCTGTTAAAAAGCACGAAAAGCCCGCATGCCGAGCGAGCGCTGAGCTGCATTCCAGACGGTCTCATAGGAACCGTCGAGGCTGCCAACAGCTCTTCTCCTCCTGGAACGACTGTGGGTACGGCTGTGCCATCAGCCCGCGCCGTGACACAGTCACTTCAGGCCCATCTCTCCTGAATGGTGATGAGTTAAAATACCAACAGCATTGAAAGCTGTGGGCTTCCTATGGAGACGTTATCCTTTAAGCTGAAGGGGTTATCAGTTCCCCATGTCACTGAAGTAGACATGGGGCCAAATCCCCATTTCCAATTGCAGGGAGAACAGGGTGCCGAACACCTGAATCGGGACGGGCAGCGACCGACCCGGGGTCCCACCTGCTCAGGACGCGGGGCCAGGCAGGCGGCCTGCGCTTGGGTTCTGGCTCTGCATTCCCGGGCGTATAACTCTGGGCGAGACGTTAGCCTCCCTGCACCTCCAGGGTCTTCCCCGGAAAACTGTCCCTCACTGATTATGCCGGTTCCACACACAAAGCGCTCAGGACAGTGACAGGCGCACAGCGAGAGCCCAGTGACAATGACGATCATCAGGTGTGAATCCACGTTCCTGGCACAGCACACAGCCGGAGGGACGCCCGGGACAGGCAGCGCATGCACTGGCAAGCAAACCCGTGAAGAGGAAATTTCCTAACGTGGTTGCGGCTGCACGGTGCCAGCACTGTGTTCAACCACGCAGCAGCGTTGGCGGGTGTCCCCGACAGGAGCAGGTGTGGGGAAGCTGGAAGAGGGGAGCTCAGAGGGGGGGGGGGCGGGTGGGCAACACAAGCGTGGAAGTGGATGATCAAAAGGGCTAGAGGCAGGGGAGAGAAAGAAGGGCAATGCAATGGCCATGCAGTCAGAGGGGGTAAGGGCGCTGCCCTCCCCTCCCCAACAGGTGCCGGCACTGGGTCTCCACCTCCACTGCGCACCGGAAACAGCTGGGATGCTCGAGCGAATAGTGATGACCCCCCTTCCCGCACCCGAGAGTCTCATTTAATTGGTCTGGGCGGAGGCCCAGGCATGAGCATCTGGTTGGCTTCCCAACTGAGTATCTCTAAGCGTGGTCCCTGGACTGGCATCACTGGCACCATTTGAGGACTCAGACCCTTATTCATGTTAAAAAAAAATCTACTCCCTTTTTAACATTCAAGAGTTAAAAATGCATCACTCAAAACTGACCACGGTGGTACACGGGAAACCGAGATTGTCTGCCATCCATCCAAAGTTACCAGGAAAATAAATACAACGAGAACACAACAGCCTTCCTTATTTCCGGCAGAGACAGCTGCCTGAGACCTGCTCTTGGTTACAAAAAAGGGGGAAAACGAGGCTTCGAGTGTTAAGAAGATTCCAGCCCCAGAGAGAGCCTTTTTTCTAGATTGAAAGATGATTGAAAAGGGAATAACTTTCTCACCATGTCATTTAATGCTCTTTAATGTCAGGTCAGTATCTTCAGAAATGGTCTCAAGTCCGACCAACAGTCATAGCCCATTGGTGGCCCCGCCCCAACGGGAAAGTAGTTGGGGTGGGGCAGGGGGCTGCTAATTCTGAGGCAGTAAGGGTGTGGGGTGTTTCAGTCTATGAGCGCCCGGGGGGCCAAGAATGGACACAGCGCCTCATTTCTTGGCTTTTATTTTCTGTAAGAACCAAACTGCTTTGACCCACAGAATTAAGACAGAAAAAAAATCATAAATAAACGATTGCGAATGAGACTTTTTTTTGGTAAAGCTCTATTCTGAAGGTAGATGGTCTCTAAACGCAGACGTAGAGAAGTGACGCAGGCCCCTTGCTCATTCAGCTGCCGCAGCCCTAACTGTGCTCCCAAAGGGGCTGGGCCCCACAGGGAAGGCAGGCAGGCAGGCAGGTGGGAGCACGCTCCCCCCTCGTCCCTCTTGTCAGCATTTCAGCAGCCTCCGTGAGGACACATCTGCGCTGGAGGAATCTGTCTGGGCGGTGCAATTCGCAGTTTCAGAATGAAAGTTGGTTCTTGATTCCAGAACTTAAATAGGAATACAGAGCACGAACCATCTTACCATCTTTTGGGCAGAGTTGCCTGTTTTGAAATGATCAGCCGTCAAGCCTAGAAAAGCCAGCCTGGGTTGAAAGGTTATTTAACGTCCTGATAATGTAAGGTATCATTCCTGGTGTAAATCCTTCAAATATCATGATTGGGAAACACTCTGAGGTGCCACCCAGATCCCTGATAGAGGGGGCGAGGCCAGCCCAGAGCACAGCATCACAGCTTTATGACAGTTTGCAGGCACCCATAGGCCCCGGCTTGAGGACCTTTGCTGTTTGCCCTGACAGCCTGGCCCTCCAAGGGCTGAGAGCAAAGGGACAGCAGCTTCCTCCAGGCGACTCCTCCTGTGGCCGGGGAGGCGAGGAGGTCTGGGCACTGGGGGAGGTCCTGGCAGCTGGACGGAGACCTGGCTGGGAGTTGCCCTTGGGTGGGAGGGGTGAGTAAGGTGCTCCGTCCAGGGCAACGGGGTGGGTACATGTTAGTGGCGCCCACTAGCGGCCAAGCTCAGTCTGGGAAAACTAATGCTGCATGTTGCTCGGCGAGGTGAGTGCTGGTCAGGATTCAATAAAACTGTCCGCAGGGAGAAGCAAAAGCCGCCTTCTTCTCTCACAAACAAATGAGAACGGAGAGATTTTCAGTCCCAGCTCGAGCGACACAGTGTGTCTGAGGCTCCCAAATACGGACAAGAGGCCAATTGCCCGTGTTCTCTGTTATTTTCATTAACAATCGTATCTGCATTTTAGGGACGCTCCCTCCCTGGTCCACAGTCACCTGGTACGTGGTGGCACGACTTGGGAGCTGGCGTCGGCTCTGACGGGTGGGTCGCTAGATACGTTAAATATTTAACTGCACCCAACCTCTCACATTTACTATTTATAGAACCCGAGACCCCACCCACACCCGTGAGGCCAGGCTCTTGGTTGGTAATTATTTTGAACCCACACTGCCTAGCACGGCACCTTGGCAGGCACTCAGTCACTGGCTGCAAAATTCACCATCTCCAGGCCACCCTAGTCCTGTGCCTTTGGGGTCATGCTGCCATCCCCGGGCACCTGGAGCACAGCTGTCCATCTGTCTCAGGGCTGCTGGCCCTTACAAGACCCATCTCCTCTGACCTTCCATCTACTGCCGGCCCAGCCCAGCCCAGAGTGTCACCTCTACAGATTGACAGCCGCTTGGCAGTGGGGCTGCGTCCCACCCCACACCTGGGTGTGGCGTGTCCCTCTCCTCCCCCAGCCGCCCTCCCACCCCGGCTCCGGGGCCAGCCCAGGGTGAGGCAGAACCTCTGAGTGCCCCGTGGATTCTTGTTTGGCTGAAAAGCGAGAGCAGACAGGAAGGCTTGCACAGGGTTCATCTTTGGTTGCAGTACATAAAGCTTCCATGTGGAGGGACTGTCGGACAAGGAGAAACCTCACGGCCTGTGCCGGGGAGGATCAAGGCAGGCCAGAGGGAGTCGGGCGCTCTTTATACAACAGTCTGTGCTCTGGAGAAAGGATCACTGAGCCCACAAAGACGAAAGGACAGAGAACACGGCTCCAGCTTTCAGGAAAAACGTATCAGAAAGGGCAGTTTTCTCCTGGGGGAAAAAATCGCTGTGGAGAAATTCTCAGAATTTCAAGAATGAAATGCAAAGACGTCATCAACCATGAATGATTTTTGATGGGGTCACCACAGCCTGTGATTCTGTGAACAAACTGGGGCCGTGGTGCTGTTCAGTTGTTGTTTTTTTTAAAAAATATTTAAAAAATATTTTTATTGACTTCAGAAAGGGAGGAAGAGGGAGAGAGAGAAATATCAGTGATGAGAGAGAATCATTGATTGGCTGCACATGCACACCCCACATCGAAGATGGAGCAGGCAACGCGGGCATGTGCCCTGACTAGAATCAAACCATGACCTCCTGGTTCACAGGTCGACGCTCAACCACTGAGCCACACTGGCCGGGCGGTGCTGTTCAGTTTGATCCACTTGTTCCCGTTCTGCTGTGCCAAGTCAGCTGACACCATCTGTGTTGATGAAACCTACAGAATTTTGAATTTGATCTCTTCCATGTTCATGGGCTATGACCCATACATTTGTAATATTTATTCCTTTTTGGCCAGAGACAAAGGCAGGAAGAATGAGATGTACTAAGAATACACTTGCTCAGCCATCCCCATCCCACTATGCATAATCCATGCAAAGACCTGGGCTCGGGGACACAATCATCTCACATTTTGCACCTATTTGTGAACGTCCTGTTTCATTAGTGAGACTCACTGCTTGGTGCTAAGAATGTGTTTTCTGTCCCGGTAAATTCAGTGGCCAGTCACGTACCCAAAAACATAAGCCAGCAACACT